AACCCCCCCCCCAAAAAAAGAAACAACAACAACACACAAACAACTCATAAAAACAAACCAGAAGCTAATATTAAGTAACAAACACAAGTCCTCAAAAAGACAGACACACACACGCACAAAGAAGGAATAACTCTACAGCGAAGACGCCCATATAAATAACCCCAGCAAAAATAAATAAATGTACTAGCAAACAAAGTAGCCTAATACATAAGAACACGACCCATATATTTTAACACCCCCCCCACCTCCCTTCGGGCCGCACACCCTAAAAATTTCACCTATTGGCTATTGTCATATTCTTTTTGCACAGGAACTTAAAATAAACCAGTAGCATTGAAAGCAGGCTAAGTGTGCAGTTGACAATAATGTTATCTTATTTTTTAAAATGCCGATCTATTGTTAGGTGTGTATGCCCATAGAACCCTCCCCAGCCCTGAGACCTGAGAATAAGACTGTGCCTGCCCAAAATGGCAAAGATTGAGCTCTTGGAATCTGTAGATAGAGACGACTTTCCCGCATCGATTGATACTGCAGCTGACTCTCTATCGTTAACGGTGTAGCGAGAAAAAGGGAAAAACTGCAGCGTATCCCAAAGCAAATATTATTGTAGACCTAAGTCCATGTTGTTTCCCCCCTTTTCTTTTCGCTCAGAAAAATTTGACTTAGACACAGTTTTGTTCTCAGCTCTTCAATTATGATGACCTACAGTTCATGAAATCGTTTTGTTTTCTTCTTTAAAAAAAAAATATCATTCTTGATAACGATTAATTTAGTGTGAACACATAGCATACGTGGTTTTGATTATGCACCTGTATACTTGTAATACTAGTGGTTCTTTCACTCAGGCGGTGGGGTCTGTTGGCTGGATCCGTAGCATTAGCGACAACAGCAGACGACATGACGAAATGGATGAACTTCCATCTCAGTTTGGGTCAAGACAGCCAGGGGCGACAGATCATGCCAGCAGACGTGCTGGAGGAGCTATACAAACCTCGGATGGCTCTCCCGCAGCCTTCCTTAGAGGACTACCGTAGACCCCGAGTCCCGTACACAGTCAGCAGGAACACCTACACGTTTGGCCTGAGGCGGGGTTTCTACAGAGGTAGGCCTACGTTGGGGCACTCAGTTGTGCGGCATCGTCCGGGAAATCAGGCGCTCGTCTAAAATAATGTAGTTTAAAAATCGACACATTTTTCCCCTGTAGGGCAATAAAAATATTCATTTAACTTCCTTGTTTTGGCTTGAACACCTTTAATGTCTATTTAAACACACACACACACACACACACACACACACACACACACACACACACACACACACACACACACACACACACACACACACACACACACACACACAACTTTGATCAAGGGTAAATTTGTAAATTCCAAGGACATTCAAGCTTTAAAAGTCTGAAAACCTTGGCTGCCATTTTCTTGCTAATTCATCCTTTGACACCATACCACCCCGACTCCTTTCAATTGCACATATCGTGATTTTTATTCAAGGCAAATAGGTATTTAAAAAAATCAAAAGTCAGACAAATGAACAAGCTTTAAGATTATATTCCAAAGTATGTTCTTTATATTAAGTCCAAAACTTGACGAACGCCTGATTCCATCGTGTCTCGACACATTTTACTTTCAGGGTTCCGCCGATTTTCCCACTCCGGGTCCAACCATGGGTTTCGGGCTCTCCTGTCGCTACTGCCCACAGAGAGACTTGGGGTGTTCATTGCTATGAACGGAAAGGACGACAACTATCAGGTGTGTCATACATACTCCCATCTTCAATATGTTTGCTTGAGTAAAGAAAAGCCCACCGACAAAACAATTGTTATTTAGAGCTGCTAGGAAAAAATAAGGCAGATAGAAGCAACAGAGGGAAAGTAAAGACGTAAGACCTACCAGTGGCGACCTCCAACCACCCGCACTCCCATTTTCACCACAAGGAAAGACAATACAAAATGAGTGTTCAGTTAGCTCTGTTGGTATCGTGCTGAACTATGAAGCGGATGACCCTTGCTCGAATCCCAGATCGTGCGTTTTTTTAATACTCGAGCACTTTAGTGGAGAGGGTACGGTGGCGAAGCGGTCAGTGCGCTCGTCTCCGAAGCGGAAAGTCCGGTTTCGAGCCTCGGTTCGGACTCGGATTTTTTTCGCCCCCTCCTGTCCACCCAGCAGTAATGGGTACCTGACTTCGAGTTGTGGAAGTAAAGGTGGCGTGGAAAGGAACTGGCCACCCTACCACAATATGCCGAAGGCCCAGGCAGTTGTCTCACTAACATGGCAATACCCAATGTCCGGATCGGATGCAGGAACAACTTTACTTTACTTTTGTGGAGTTTTCAAGGTTTCCAGCCCATTTGGCTCTCTCCAATCGGAGATGGACTCCTAAATTATGAGCTTCAGCCATTTAAATAACCTTTTAGAGTTGAAAGGGCATTAAACCCAAAACTATCAAAGTTAATTTGTACACTTCCGAAGGTAAAGACTACAAAGAAACATATCGCTCGCCGCAAGATCAGAGAGAGAGATGGAGAGAGAGAGAGAAAGAGAGAGAGAAAGAGAGAGAGAGAGTATATAT